AAAGAGTATTTTTTTAGAAAATTGTACTAAAAATGGTCAAATTTACGTTTTTAAGCCGGGATTTAGATTGGGCGTGAAGTTACAAAATAAGATCTTGTTAACAGTGAGTTTAATTCCAAAAATGAGGGTCACGTGATCAGTGTTTTTTTCGCAAGATTTGTTAAAATTTCGGTTGGGGCTAACATATGATTAGGGTTAGGACTGTTGTCTTAGGGTTAGGTTTGAGATTTGACTTAGGGTTAGACTTGTCCTAGGGTTACATTGGAGCTTGTGGCTCAGGGTTTTGACCTAGGGTTAGTCACGCGACCAGCCTTCGCCAACAAATTCAAACTCCATAGATGTAATCTGCACACAACATTAACTATGCTCAACTACCTTAAGTCCCTTTGCTATGCATAAACATGAAGACGACCACCCCCTAAACTTTCACTTTTGTGCGGTTTGCTAAATATGCCATAAAGGCTAGTTTTCAAGACAGCCACCCCCTAACTCTGTACTGCCTGCATAGTTTTAGCTTAAACTTTGTGAAAGTAATCAAACTTGCTGCACAAACATGTCCACAAACGTTTGGAACGAAATAGCCAATAAATTCCAAAATTTTTTTTTTGATTAATATGCACATGAATTCACAGAAATTCAAATCCAGTTTTTGAAATCAACTGAACACGTGCAAAGAAAAACTCAATAATCAGTTTAAGTTAGGCTAGTAATTGTCCAAATATGCATTGGTTCATTTATTTAGTAGGTCATATAATGTTAATTAATTCACTGTCATTTGCTATCTACTGATGGGATTCCTGTGTGTTAATTTCGTTGGAGGATTACGACGTAAGCCAAAAGTTGATAGAAAACAACTGAAAACAAATGTCTAAATTCCCTGCAGTAGTTAGAATGGCAAATATCTAGGAATCCAATTCTCCTAAATTTAAGAAAAATTGCTTGTCTATAGATAAAAGTTTCTTATTCAATTCAATGATAATATCAATTTTAAGGTACTTCTGTTTTGTGTTGTAAGCATGTTATTCATTTGTTTGTGTAGGTATTCAGTMATTTAAGTGATGTTTTTACTAAATCAATGTCTAGTCTATAGATATTGTCACGTCACGGCATGATTTCTACTCATGGGCCTCCTGTGGTATATCCCTAKTGTCCGTTTCCGGGAATTTTCCCTGGTTCCAATAATACGCGTCATTGATGTGAAACAAGCACTTTTCGCTGCTGTGAAAATACAGGAAACTTYCGTAACTAAAACCTATCCTAGGCCTGGGCTGATAGTAGTATGGCTGCACTTTGAAATCCATTAAAACTTTCTATTTAATTTGAGTGACGAGAAAAATCAGGTAAGTTTGAATATCAATATAAAATAATTGTAAACAGATCGATTTCCGGGTTTGAGTGGCTAAACATTCACCATTAYTTATTTGGTAAAATGGTTGGGAACTTTGATTTGCCACAATTTTTTTGATTTTTATAATAGGTTAACGAGTTTTACGGGAAAAATAGTTCAAATAATGCTTTTAAAAGGTATATTTGTGCATGTTGCTTCATACATTGTGACCGATCGAAGTTTCCTGACGCCTTTGACCTTTTCAGTCGATCCATCGATATTTGAGARTGTTATACAAATCTCTACAATGTATACAGTTTAGGAAATGCTTTGGAAGAAATCAAAATCGATTTAGTTTCAACTCGCTTTGCAATCGGCTATTGTATTATTGTTTTTTTTTTCGAAGTCTATTCCATAATGTATTGCAAAGGTTAACGTTCCAATGTAAAGTCACGCTTTGGTCGGCGATTATTCAGTGAAATCTCGTCAGTCGCTTTCTTTTTAATGGCAGAACTAGTTATCGCGACTTCCAAGTTTGTTTAGAATTTGTTCTTTTCTGCTATGTGTGGACGGAGCGTATGCTAATTATTTCCACGAAATTGGAGTCTGTATTTTTTTCAAACTAAAAAAAGTGATTCAAGAGTTCATTAACATTAACCCTTATGTAGTTACTTCGAGTTTGTTCTTGCATTTCTTTATTTCTTGCGTCTGAAACTTTATTTACTGTTTCATAAAAGAAATAAAGTTAGCTTTTAAAGCACGTCAATTCGCAGAAAAGACTAAGTTACACATAAATTACATAATCGTCTTTGTTATATCTTCGAAAGTTCTTGCTTTGAAATAACTTATGAATCTTAGCGGCGTAAGGTTCTTAATGCAATGATGTAAAATGTTTAAATTTGTAAATAATCAGTTTTGGAGATACTTTGCCTTTTAGGAGTGGAATGAAATGCAATGAATCTTTTTTCATTAAGGCTGTGTTTACATTTATTTGGATATTCTSAAATAGCATAATTATTCATAAATCAGGTCTGACTGTATCTTGACATTTTTGAAAAGCCTTTTCCAAAGTTGATTTTTTTCAAAAAACGTGTTTTGAAAGCGATCGTTTAAGAAAGTGCAGTCTACGCGATAACCGGATACCCAGTATACAGCTATAAAACTTTTAATATTGAAGACATTTTAATCCAAGAACGAAGTCYTTCATAGTTTTAATAAGTGACCATACCAGATCCGCACAATCAAGAATTTCAAGTTATTTTGTAATGCACATAACGATCAATTACATTAATGCATTGCGGTCTTGGGATGCACTATGCAGTATCAGAATTACATATGATGCAAAATGATGTTTGGCTAAAAAAAAAATATTGTGAACTCAACATTGCGTAAGGAGTTTTGAATAATTGTTCTTTGAAAGAAAAGCGAAGAATAAACAAACAAGCGAAAAGGTACAAAAGGTTAGAACGAATTCATGTCGAATTTCGGAAACCTTAATAGATGAAGTTATGAAAAGTCACAAACAAGAGAAAAGTCGTCAAAAAATATCGATTACTGATATTAATTTCCAAACAAATCTCCTAGCTACCTTAAAATTCATAGGGTCCGAACTCTAAGGTTAACAGTCGAAGACTACTTTTAAAACCTTTGTCTTTGTTTTAAGTTCAACTTTATTTGACTGTATTGCATAATAAAACTTACTTTTCTTCGCACGCCTTTTGTCTGCATCTTTCTTCATCTTTGTCTGAACTTTTCCCCTGTCTTCGCAGACATCATATTGCTCTTGAACTACTTTCGCTACATAACTCATATAGTAAAGTATGTTTTCTATCAAATTCAAAAATGTTTGTTTAACAAAAGTTGTAAAGTTTTCGTAATGTAAACTTCACCTAGTTCTGCTCCATCGACTACATTTTCCTTTTTCTTCTCCGCTCTTGAAGTAGATCAACAAGTACCAATCAGGTG